GTAGAAACAGTAAGGATAGTAAAGCAGAATATAAAGGGTGCCCTGAAACAACAGCAGTGTGTGCCTCAGAGGGACACTTTAGCCCCAGTTAGCCACAAGCACCGTCAGCCCCAGTAGTTTGTCGGGAGGTCATGATCATGGGAAGGCTCTTGTTTCATGGTTAACACTTCTGCCCAGGCCCATGTGGGGAAACATCCAAACAGGACAAAACTGATGCCTCCAGCTGCTGTGCCCTATTTCCACATCGGTTTAGTTTCCTCTTGGTTCCTGCTCCAGTGCTAATTTCTGCATTCTGATTCCTGGCTACTCTGTCTCCTGCAGCTTTATTCATTTCCAGTCTCACTGAGTGAGTACTGACAGTCTGCTAATAAATGGGCTATATTCTCTGACATGCGGCTTCATAGAGCCTCCTGACTTCAATCCTCCACATGTAGTGGAGCATTGGTTCTCCTGTTTCAAGTCAGCTCAATCCTTTGTGGTGGGTCCTCCCCTCCTAAGCCCTTAGCTACCATTGCACCTCTTTCCTCAAGGTCACCCTGCACCTGAGCACCCTAATGGGTTTGCATTCAAAAGGCTCTCTGCTGCTTCCCCCAGGAACCCACCCAGAAGCACTACTTCAAACTACTTCCCGGCTCAGCTTCACCCTGATTAACTACTTGTTTGCTGAAATAATTACAAAATTCTGATTCTCCCAACTTGTAGTAAGAAAGAGAAAGTAAGCAAAAACAGTAAAACCAAATTTAATTTTGGCCATAATGATAGGAGTTGATTTGGTAGGTAAAAGAGTTGATTTGATAGGAGTTTGGTAGGTAAAATTATTCATCCATACCAAAATCATAGTTATTTTAGATCTTCCTCACTTGTTCCTTTAACAGGTATTTACAGAGGATAGTCCATGTTCTAGGAATTTACCTAGCAACTAAGGACATAGCAGAGAATAAAAGAAGACAAAGTTTTGGTACTCAGAGTTTATACTGTATATCTAACAGGGTTTCTTAAAGTGAGGAGGTAAATAGTTAATGATTTACAGAGTTCTACTTTATAGAGGGGGAAATTTTAAGAGTCTAATTGGTATGCTAATCTGTGTTCTCTAAGTTAATCACAAATAGAGTGACCAAAAACTCGTGGCAGCAACCTGAAATAAAGGCATAATCTTTTTTTTTTTTTTTAATTTTTATTTATTTTCTTTATTTTATTTTTGGCTGTGTTGGTTCTTCGTTGTTGCCCACGGGCTTTCTCTAGTTGCGGCGAGCGGGGGCTACTCTTTGTTGAGGTGCACGGACTTCTCATTATGGTGGCTTCTCTTGTTGCAGAGCACGGGCTCTAGTCACTTGGGCTTCAGTAGTTGCAGAGCGCAGGCTCAGTAGTTGTGGTGCACAGGCTTAGTTGCTCTGCGGCATGTGGAATCTTCCCGGACGAGGGCTTGAACCCATGTCCCCTGCATTGGCAGGCGGATTCTTAACCACGCCACCAGGGAAGCCCTAAAGGCATAATCTTGCAAGCCTTAAAGAGGTAAGCCACAGCAAACATCCTGGCCTGTATTTTCTTTCCAAATTTTCATTATGAAAAATTTTTAACATTCAGAGAAGTTCAAAGAATAGGTCAGAGAACAACTATATACTTATAACATAAATCAATTGTTAACATTTTGCTACAGCTGGTTGATCTGTTATTATTTATATTTATATGTACATATATACGTACATATATTTAATTTTTTATTTGAAAATAATTTCAGGCCTACAGAAAAGTTGCAAGAAAAATAAGAAGAATCCTCTCACACCCCCTTTACCTAGATTCACCAATTTTTAAACTCTTGCCCCATTTGCTTTTTTTTTTGGCCAACCTGTGATTGAACCTGGGCCCTGGGCAGTGAGAATGCAGAGTCCTAACCACTGGACCACCAGGGAATTCTCTGCCCCATTTTCTTTTACTATATTCTATGTATGTGTGTATGTACGTTTTCTGAACCGTTCAAGAGGAAGTTGCATACAATGTGCCCCCTTTCCCCTGTATTTTTCAGTGTCTATTTCCTAAGAACAAGGACATTTTCCTACATAACCACTGTATATTTACCAATTACAGGAAATTTAAAATTGATGCTGTACTTTTTCTTAATTGAAGTATAGTTGATTTACAAGGTTGTGTTCATTTCTGCTGTAGAGCAAAGTGATTCAGTTATACATATATACACATTTTTAAAAAAATATTTATTTGGTTGTGCTGGGTCTTAGTTGAGGCAGGCAGGCTCCTTAGTTGTGGCATGTGAACTCTTAGTTGCGGCATATACGTGGGATCTAGTTCCCTGGCCAGGGATCAAACCCAGGCCCCCTGCATTGGGAGCATGGAGTCTTAACCACTGTGCCACCAGGGAAGTCCCTATACATTCTTTTTTTAAATATTCTTTTCCATTATAGTTTATCACAGGATATTGAATATAGTTCCCTGTGCTATACAGTAGGAACTTGCTGTTTATCCATTCTATATGTAATAGTTTTGATGCAATACTTTTTTAAATCTCATCTGTAATCCACATTCTAGTTTGTCAATTGATCCAGCAGTGTTCTTTTTGGTCTTTTATTTTCCTCTAGTACAGGATGCAGTCCAACATCATATATCTCATTTAGTTGTCATGCGTTTCTCTCGTCTCTTTTATTTTATTTTATAAATTTATTTATTTTACTTATTTATTTTTGGCTGCATTGGGTGTTCATTGCTGCGCGCGGGCTTTCTCTAGTTGGCGCGAGCGGGGGCTGCTTCTTCGATGTGGTGTGCGGGCTTCTCGTTGCGGTGGCTTCTCGTCGCAGAGCACGGGCTCTAGGCTCATGGGCTTCAGTAGTTGTGGTTCGAGGGCTCTAGAGCACAGGCTCAGTAGTTGTTGGTGCACAGACTTAGTTGCTCCACAGCATGTGGGATGCTCCCGGACTAGGGATCGCACCCCTGTCCCCCCGACCGGGGACAGGCGGATTCCTAACCACTGTGCCACCAGGGAAGCCCTCTAGCCTCTTTTAATTCAGAACATTTCCAAAGCTTTTCTTTGTTTTTGATGACACTGCTATTTTTTAAGAAAACAGAACTTTAAAAAAAAATGTTCATCATTTAGAGGTTGTCTGATATCCATCTTGTGTCGCAGATTCAGTTCTCCTAGAAGAAGACTTTGAGACGGAATTTAAGGGTCAGATATTTACTAGGTTGTGCCCTTAGGATCGATACCTGCATGTGGAATGGGGCGGGGCATTGGGGGAACAACACAACCGGGCAGAGGGAGAAGTTGAGCTGTAAGGTAGGACTGACAGACAGAGCCAACTCCAAATGGACCTCTGAAGCTAAAATGGACCCATCAGGATTATCCCCCATTGGTCCAAAGTGACCAGGCCTTTCTACTTCCACCTCAATCATCGCTGACAGTTGGCTATCCTAGAAAGGCATGACCTTGGGCAAAGGGGCTCTGTGTAGTAGCAGCAGTCTCTGAAGGGCTATTAGTTGGATGTGGCCTCTTGACAGCTCTCCCAGGAGTTAGTTTGTCCTTGTAGGGGGATCTGGGCAATGCACTTCCATTTACCACATTTCATGATTGAAATCAGATTTTACATTCCCAGCTGGACAACTACTATGTGTGTGTACATATATATATATATTTCTTTTCTTGTCTTTTGATTTACAATGTTGATTTACAATGCTGTGTTAATTTCTGCTGTACAGCAAAGTGACTCAATTATACATATATATACATTCTTTTTTTTACATTATTTTCCATTATGGTTTATCCCAGGACTATATATATATATATATCTATCTTTCTGAATCTTTTGAAAGTTAAGTTGTAGACTTCAGCCCTAAAAACTTCAGCATGCACCTATAATAAAGAAGATTCTCGTACAAAACAATATCATTAACATACCTGAGAAAATGAAAAGATATCTTAATGATATTCAATTCATATTCAAATTCTCCCTATTATCCTCAAAATATGTTTTATAGTGTTTTAAAATCAGTATCTACTCAATAGTCATGTTAAATTCCTTTTTTTTTTTTTTGGTCTTTTCTCTTTTAAACTGGAACAATCCCTCTGTTTTTCCATATCAAAGACTTTCTAAGGAGACTGGGTGTGATGTCTTGAAGAACCTTCCTATTTTTCAGAGTGTTTCTTGTTTGTTTTTTTTTCAAATTTGAAAGGCATAAGACATAATGTCACAAGAACTGAGGAAAATACCATTTGCTTTTTCTTAGATGATTTTAAGTATTAATACAGATGAAAGAATTTTTAAAGATGTGGACTATCTGTTAGAATAATAACTAAAGGTCTGCTTTTATATCCATTATTAATTAAGGAGAGTCAAAGAGAAGTAAAGAGACACAACGTTTTGTTTTTTTTTTTATAAAACGGTTTTCTTACCGTTTTCATTACATTTTTATAAAATTGAGTTGTCATTATTTGTGCACGTATGTGTTTGTGTGTGAAAACATAGCCAGATTCTACTTAACGTTCACATCTTCTCTAACAAAATAAAGCAAAATAAAAAGCCACTTAGTTGTTTTTGTAATGTGTTAGTGAGAACAGGAAATGAAAGAATCATATTATCTTATTCCATCATATTATGTTATATCATAATCATATTATATTATATTGTTAGTCCTTTAACTGTAGCGCTCTTATTATAAGCAGCTCTAATCCTCTTAATATATTATGACTCGTTCATTATAACAAATTAAGAAAGACATGAGACACAAGAATCTTTTCAGATTATTTCCAAACAGGCTTCTTTACCTAATATCCTTCAATTGAATTAGTTATGAGTTTTCTGATGGAAAATAAGCCTATTTCTGCCAAGTGTTTGTCAAAATACTTGCAAAATTTGTCAGTGGCCACCACCTTGACAACTGACAAGAATACCTTCCTGTCTTCTCCCTCCTTTCTCCTTTCTTCTTTTTTTAATGGAAAGAATTTACTGTTAAAACTATATTATAGGCTCTTGGTCGCGTTGACTGGCTGTGTGTAACCGTGGGTCACGGGCGCTCGCCTCCCGCCACAGCTCAGCCCAGCGCCGCCGAGGCCGTCGGCCCGGAGCCTCCGCCATGGACTTCGAGGACGATTACACACACTTTGCTTGCAGAAATACTTATCAGAGCTTTAATGGAATGGATCGTGATTATGGCCCCGGATCTTATGGAGGGATGGATCGTGACTATGGCCATGGATCCTGTGGGGGTCAAAGATCCATGGACTCCTACCTAAACCAGTCATATGGCATGGACAGTCACAGTGGTGGTGGTGGGGGTAGCAGGTAAATTGCTTCATCACTTGGCCAAATAATTAGATGACTGTAAGATTCTGGATATTCTAATTTCCTATTCCTTAGGCATGTGACGCTACTTGAACTTTGCTATTTAGAATCACCTTAAATGTTGAAAGGTGTTAGTGGTTCTAAAAATTATCTTAGCATCACTGGCAGACATTAGGAAAATCTCAGGAAAACCTTTATCATTTCATTATAATAGAGTAAGATTTTCTGTCTTTAGCAGTGAGCATTTTTTTTCCTTCTTTTACCTTTAACTGCTTATCAATCAGAATGTCCTGAACAAATGATATAAAAATGTTATTGGAAATATTATTTGTGAAGCTTTTTGTTATGAATCTCCAAAAATCTTTACTACTGTGGGGTACTCTATAAAGCAGCAAAGCAGTCTTTGACTAGAATGGGTTTAACTGAACCAGTCTAGCAACATTCAATTTCTAAGAAACATTTAAAATAGTTATTCTTTTAATTTTAAAGTAAGTTACAAGAGCATATTGTAATAATAAAAGTGTTCTTTAAATCATGTCTAGATTATTTATTGGCAGGTACTGCTTATACCAGAAACACTTGTGCTCTAGACTAGGAACATTATATTAAAGCCATGAGTATGATACCTTTGCTTATTTTAATGCAGTAGAATTTAGATTGTACTTATGTTTCACTGTCAATGCTGTGTAAAGCTTAAACCTAGTTGAACTCCTACAGGCTTTAGGGTTGACCACATTTCAGGTCAAGGGGGGTCTACTGTTTGAGGCACAAAGATTCCTACTAGATGTAAGTAAAACTAGTTAGGAAACATTTGAAAGTATTGTCCTTCTTCATAAATTGAAGGATCTGGATTCCTTAAGGATGGACCGAATGATGCTTACTTTTCTTTTTCCTGCTTCAAGTGTGCCATTATGGTTTATAGTAGAGAAAAATCAAGAAGATAGATACAACAATTTTGTTTACGTGATAGATGTTCTGAAAAATGTAGTTGAAAAGAGGAATAATTTTTATATGGTTACTAGGATTCAGAAGTAAATAGTACCTTCTATTTAGTGATCTGTAAATAATTGAAGTAATGTAACACATTTAAATGTTTTACCATATCTCTTCCTGCCCTATTACATTGTAAATGTAACGTGCGTAAACTATGTAGATGTTATCATTTATCTCATGTAATTGTGGGCCTTTATAAAACTATGTTGTAAGTTAAAAAAAAAACACAAAAATCTATATTATAGGACCTACTTTTTACCCGAACTAAGATATATATATCCCATAAAAACTAAAGGAAGTGGGAAATCTTCAATATAAAAAGTATACAATTTTATGTGGGATAAATATAAATCCAAATATTTAATGTTATGAATAGGATAAGATATAATAGAGAACAGGTCAATTTTGCCTATTTTGAGCCAATCCATTTTGGCTCAGCACTATTCCTTGAGTGTCCGTTATGTTTAAGTCCCTGTACTGGACCCTTTGATGAGTCACAAATTTAACTGATTAATTCATTTATTTATTCATTCACTTTTGTAGTCTCTAGGGCTAAATCAAGCTTAAGAAGGAGAAGGAAATGGTGGGAAAATATACATTTTTCCATAGGAATTTAACTATTAAGTAGTCTACATTCCTCCTAGATTTCATAAGCCTAATTTTTAAAAGAACACCATGCTATTTGGGCCAAGTGGTTTCCAGACACACAGAGTATGCCAGTTCAAACTCCCTATCGAGGTGACATCAGCAAAAATAGTGGAGTAAGGACCTCAGAAAATTCTCTCTTCCACAGAAGCAACAAGAAACTGGCTAATGGTCAGAATCAAATGTTTCAGAACTCTGGAAATTTCCCAAAGGCTTGCAACAATCCGGGGAGTGTTTAAAAAGAAGGAGGAGGAGGAGAAAGAGGGGAAAAAACTGTTCAATCTCAGTAAAAGCAATGAGCTCTGTGGCATTTTTCACTTGCCCTAGTCCCATCTCGGACTCTCCTGCTTTGTGATATCCTTGAAAACCACCAGCCTGCATTCATGGTGAAGACCAGCAGCCCGACAGCCACTGGCAGGAACAGAAAGGGGCTGGAGCTCCTTCAAAGCTTCATCCCCAGAGACTTATTATATGACCTGTTTGTTCCCTGGAAAATCCCACTTGCAAGACTGATTTAACTCAGAGCTCATTAAGTGTGAAAAACTTTTTCCCCATAAACATTTGTCGAAAACAATTACAGGCAATTACTTAACCTTGCAGCTGTCTGAGGTGATGGATACCAGTTGGGGGAAAACATTAGACTAACAAAAAATTAAAAACAGAATGAGACATACAGAGGGGCTTTGGGAAGCTTCTGAATCAAGAAGGCCACATGCATGTATAGGGTGGTGCACATGCCCAGGGCTCTGTGCATTGACAAGAAAGACCCGAAAAGGCCCTAAGCTCTCACCTCTGGATGACCTTGAGATTCCGTGCAAGGAAAGTGGAAGCTAAGGCAGAGTTGAAAATGCACCCCCAATATGCACACAGAGCCTCTCACCAAAAACTGGGTTGCTTATTGGTTCTAGGCATTTAAGGAAATTTCCAGGTCCTACCTTATACCTTCTGAGCTTTGCATGGAGGTAAGAACAAAGGAAAGATCACATGGGTGATAAGACAGCCAAAAACTTTGATGTCTCTCTAGATTCCTGTTCCCATTTCAGTTCAGGCCACTAAGGATTTTCCTTACTTTCTTGCTAGCTCAGCCATACATTTAAAAAGACGATTTTTACATTTAGTACAGTGGCTTTTAGAGATTTTGTAGTGAAAAGATTTAAAAGAATATCTATAATACCATATTGCCAGAAACACAACTCCACCTAGCTTTTGAGATATTATTGTTGTCCTTAGGAAGGTTCTACCTACACTGTCATTTCTTATCTGACTATAGTAAGGAGGAAAAACTTATTATGTTGACTGCTGTGATACATTGTTGGGGAATCCTGCTTGTGTTTTTCTACTGTTCAACCTCAGAGCCAGGCTTGAACCAGCTGCCGGTTTTCTCTTCTTATCCTTGAGGAGCCCCAGAAACTCAGCACTTTCCTCTCTCTCAGTATCTGACTCTACCTACTTCTCTTGTCACAAATCTCTCCAACTTCCATATTCTTTGCTCTGCAAAAATTTATATTTGTCTTAAGGACTTTACTATTACTCACTAGAGGAGAATAATTAGATAGCAAAAACATGATCAATATGAGAAATTTACAGGCATTTCATAATTTTACAAATCATGGTTCTCATTTCCTTTTAGGATGATTTTTGTCTTCCAATTTTATTCTCTTAAAGAGTTGTTCTATAGTTAGATGAAGACCACAGGAACCCTTCCTCCTAAACCACAGATGTAAGGGTTTGTGGATGCTCTCAAGACAATGGGGGACCCTCTCCTCTCCAGAGAATATCTGGCACCTCTGAGAACCACCAGATTGAGTGGTACCCAAATCAGTCATCCTCTGTCCTGATTAGGACTATTATGGACATTATTTTTTAATCCTTTATTATTGAATGATCAAAACATCTGAATATAAACTAGATTCTGATTGTGGATACACTTTTTCTTTTGTCTTTATTTTTTAAATTTTTTTAAAGATCCTTGGCTTTTACTTTCTTTCTTTTTTGTTTATTTATTTGGTTGCGCCATGCCTTAGTTGCAGCACGTGAGATCTTCCTTGCGGATGCAGACTCTTAGTTGTGGCATGCATGTGGGATCTGGTTCCCTGACCAGGGATTGAACCCAGGGCCCCTCCGTGGGGAGCATGGAGTCTTACCCACTGGCCCACCAGGGAAGTCCCTGTGCATCCACTTTTAACCACCTGGTTAACACAAGGCTTTATCCCCTTCTGAAACTCTGAGTTGATATATGTTAGATCTTCTTACTCTTTGCTCCTCATTTTTTAGCCTTCCTTTCATACCTTTCATATCATTGTCTCTCTGTGTTACATTTTGGATAACTTCTTCAGATATGTCTTCTAGTTTACATTCTCCCTTCAACTGGGTCTAAGCTACATCTTATGCATCCATTAAATTAAATTTCAAGATTAACTTTGTAATTCCTAGAAGTTCTATTTGATTCTTTTTTGGCCGTGCCATGCGGTATGTGGGATCTTAGTTCACCAGCCAGGGACTGAACCCGTGCCCCCTCCACTGGGAGGGCAGAGTCTTAACCACTGGACCACCAGGGAAGTCCCTCTGTTTGATTCTTCATAAAACTTTCTTTGCCCAAAGTCGATATTCTGCCTAAAATTCTAGTGGTTTTTGGTGCTTCTGTCTTTCTATTCAGGTCTTTTAAAGTGTTCTGCTAAATTTCTGTTTTCTTGTGTATTAAATGAAAGGACTAGAGTAGATTATCTCTACTATCTCATCTTACTTTAAGGACGATGATTCTGTGGTTTTTAGCCACCTGACTCCTTCCTCCTTCAAAGAGATTAAAGAATTGAAACGGGTCTGTAAAGGAAGAGCTCCCATTCCCCAAGCAATAATGGCAAGTTGAAAAAGAATAAAAGTAATAGAAATGACAACCAGATCTTTGGGGGTGAATATGGGACATAAGAAAATTGTTTCCCTTCACTGTACGTCACATATGAAAGAACTTTTATAGTGTTTTCTCTCCATGCCACCCCATCCCTCTTAGCACAAAATAAAATAAAATAAAATGAAGCTACACTTAGCAGAGGCAGCACTGCATATATGCATTGACTGATAGAAGACCATGGCTAAGCCACAGAATCAGAACCGTACATCCTGACCCATGGCCAGGAGAGCCATCAAACTGCATCAAGTGTAACATTAGAGTAAACAAAACATAGAGTTTCAGGGTTGGCAGAACTTTACACATTAAGTCCAGTCACATTCAATGCCAGAAAAACCTTCAATTTATGGTTGTCTCATTAAACATCTCTAAGTATGAGAAATGTGCCATCATCTGACAAAGCTTTGTGCCAGGCTGAAAGCTCCATGGCTTCAGTTCATTGCTATTCACTTCTGTTTCACTGGGGCCTAGAACACATAGGAGATGCTCAGGAAATATGTATTAAATGAATAAATGCCAATTTTTAACAACTATAATCTCTAGAAAGTTTTGCTTTATACTGAGCTAAAATTTCTCTTTCCCTCATATTCTTAGCTTTACTCTCTGGCCAGATAAAACAATTCCCTTCTCTGCATGAAAAACGTCATCCTGCTCTTTCTTTTCCAGGATAAATAGCTTCCACCAGTTCATTCAGCACTCCT